TACATACATACATACATACATACATACATACATACATACATACATACATACATACATACATACATACATACATACATACATACATACATACTACATACATACATACATACATACATACATACATACATACATACATACATACATACATACATACATACATATACATATATACATACATACATACATACCAACATACATACCAACATACATACCAACATACATACCAACATACATACCAACATACACACCAACATACCAACATACCACCACCGCAGGCCACGGGGGGGGCGGGGACCAGGCCACAGGGGGGGGGGACCAGAAGAACCAGACGATACTGTCCACCCATACCCATTGGTGGGGGGGGGGAGGGGGGCTGGCCAACGCTGCACCATATATATATATATACATTGGGGAGTGCCTTGGCCTCTTTGTCTGTGGAGGCCAAGGGCCAAGAGCTATTCCTTAAATAAACCCAATTTACAGAAACTATTTCCTAAATCAACTCTTAAGCTGGGAAACTATTTGAACCTATTTAATAACTTAAATAAAACCAATTTACAGAAACTATCTCTTAAATAAACCCAATTTGCAGCAACTATTTCTTAACTAAACCCAATTTGCAGAAACTATTTCCTAAATAAATCCAATATTGAGAAAGTTTTGAAACAATATCCAATAAATGTTACATTAATAAACAAAAATAAAGAAGTAATGCAAGTTAGGCCTTTTAGGGATTGGTTTGAAACAGTTTGGAACGGTTTTGGACTACTACCTAGCAAGTACTATGAACCGGTTTGAAACGGTTTCGGACTAATTGATGATTAGCCATACTTAGAAACTATTTGAAACTATTTGATTTTTTTGCCAAAGTGAGGTAGCAAGTAGCAGGAAATTGTGTGTATTATTTGATTTTTTACATGCATGAAATTTTGAAATGATGAACAAAGTTGAAATAGTGGTGTATCTATGATTGCTTGTCTGATACTGTGGTATATGATTGCTGGTCTGATACTGTGGATATATAGATATATATATATATTATATATACAATGTATGTAATATATACATTCTGTTGGAGATGTTGCGGATATCATATTAATTACCATATATTTTTACACCAAGATGATCCAAATGGGGATATGATGGATATGATCAACATCTTGTTCCTAACAGCGGGGATTTCAACCTGTCCCAGGTTGATGTCGATTGAGAACATCATGCTACTGGGATCTACTGGGAATGGAACGAAATCAAATGGAACTATGGCATATCATGGAATCATGGCATATCATGGCATATCATGGCATATCATGGCGTATCATGGCGTATTTTAGCATATGTTGGCATATCATTATGGGATGTTATGGCATGCTATGGCGTAACAAGTTATGGCATATCATGAATATATTGACCCCTGTCAATGCTGTGCAAGATGCCATCCTGACTGCAACCTTTCTTTCCCCATGACACAAGGGGGAAAAAAAACACCCTGGAGGCGGAAAAAAAAATCTTTTTTATAGTGGTTTATATGATTTGATGTGTATATAATGATTGTCATAACCTTCAACATCTTTCAAGCAACAAACAACGTGGCACGGGGCAAGAAATTGGCAGATCAGAGTCGCCTCGCCCAATCCCCGGATTCAGAGCGGGAGCACCCTCCTTCTGACCAATAGATATCCGTTTCGCTTTGCAAGCCGCAAAAACCAGGGGTTCCCAGAAAATATTTACACCAGTAGCTATCCAAACCAGACAAAGGTCATCTACAACGTCTTTAAAAAAAATGTGTCCCATCTTTCTGTATGGAACACCTGCGGGGCCCAAATGATGTTATTGTTCAGTAGCACATATCATATACATCGGATCTCTTAAGTTGGGGATATCCATGGATAACCATGGGATATCCATGGCTTTTTTCATCCCTGTAATCCAACCACCGAGAAACCCTCCGGTCAACGTTACAAAAAACGATGGAAAGATTCACCATTTTTCATAGGTAAATCCACTATTTCGACTGGGCCTGGGCCATTTTCAATAGTTATTTTGACATACCCAGAGGGTAACATTGACCAAAACAAACCTCCCCGAGTCACATGAGCATGATCGGGCCGTCGAGTGAAGCTTTGTCCTCTTTGTTGCCCTCCTGAAAGATGCTGGGTATCATGGTATCACCCGACAAAAAGGAATCGTTCAGCCTGGAACAGGCCGGGTGTCATCAAACATGTCAAGGTTCAAGCTTACTATACTAATTGGTGGTTTTTCGCCACCCCTCTGAAAAATATGACTTCGTCAGTTGGGGTTATTATTCCCAATATATATATATATATATGGAAAATTCATTAAAAACAATCCAAACCACCAACCAGTGATTATTATATAACCATTATTAACCATCATTAACCACTATTATTGGTATATCATCCAAACCACCAACCAGTTACTATATGACTTGGACAGGGACGCTGACGCTGAGCTGCTAACTCCAAGGATTTTTCACAATTGGGTTGCAGGGATCATCTGAAAAAACAGGCCGCCAAGTTATATCTGCCGGTTAAACCATCTAATTGTACAAAGTGGTGCCCCCCAGTTATAAGTTGGTTTATAAACCCCATGAATACTGTAGTTATATCTACTGACTATAAACCATAGAATTCAACCACTTTTCTCAGGCAACTGAACGCTATCGAACGGGGGCACCACATTGTAGAGATGTCTCTAGTCGTCAACTTAAAAAAATACTTTACTTCGTGTGATCCCCACCATGACAATTTATACATTTTCTTACTGGCAAATCTTCTGGCATTCTATCTGACATATCTTCTGACATTCTATTTGGCATTCTATCTGGCATATCTTCTGGCATATGATCTGGCATATCTTCTGGCATTTCTATCTGGCATATCTTCTGGCATATTTTCTGGCATTCTATCTGGCAAATCTTCTGGCATTCAATCTGGCATTCTATCTGGCATATCTTCTGGCATTCTATCTGACATATCTTCTGGCATTCTATCTGGCATATCTTCTGGCATATATTCTGACATTCTATTTGGCATTCTATCTGGCATATCTTCTGGCATATGATCTGGCATATCTTCTGGTATATCTTCTGGCATTCTATCTGGCAAATCTTCTGGCACTCTATCTGACATATCTTCTGGCATTCTATCTGGCATATCTTCTGGCATATATTCTGACATATCTTCTGGCATTCTATCTGGCATATCTTCTGGCATATTATCTGGCATTCTATCTGGCATATCTTCTGGCATATATTCTGACATCTCTTCTGGCATTCTATCTGGCATTCTATCTGGCATTCTATTTGGCATTCTATCTGGCATATCTTCTGGCATATCTTCTGACATTCTTTCTGACATTCTTTCTAACTTTCTTCTGCGCATTCTTTGTCCCATACCTTCCTACATGAGGTCCGGCAGGGAACACTTGGCGTGGATACTCGCGGTTGAGGTCCGGCAGGGAACACTGGGCGTGGATGGTCGTGGTTGAGGTCCGGCAGGAACACTGGGCGGGGATGATCGTGGTTGAGGTCCGGCAGGGAACACTGGGCGTGGATGGTCGTGGTTGAGGTCCGGGAGGGAACACTGGGCGTGGATGGTCGTGGTTGAGGTCCGGCAGGGCACACTGACGTGGATGGTCGTGGTTGAGGTCCGGCAGGGCACACTGACATGGATCGCAGTGGAGCAGGAGGAGGACGAGGAGGACGAGGAGGACGAGGAGGACAACGAGAGGAGGAGGAGGAGGAGGCAGGAGGAGGCGGAGGAGGAGGAGGCAACTGACATAAAATCTAACAACCCTCACCTGGCAGGTGGGGAAAAAAAAAACAGTCACTCACTCGTTGTTCACTTGTTTGAACCAAGGGAAAGCCATGGAAATTCCGATCTGAAATTCCAATCCTCTCCAATCCCAACCGTTGACGAACATGGAAAACCAGTTGAGAATCCAATGTGTCGCCGATTTTTTTTCTTGGGATTGCTAAAACCCAACTACTGGAGGTATGAAACCCGTCTTCTGAAAAGACCTGAGTCCAAGTAGGAGACCCAAACGTTGGCAAAATACATGGGGTTTGGTGTATGCCATGCCTTCACCGCACAAGGTGCTTGGTCCATCATGATGACACCATCGGCTATGACGCACATGACTCCACAAAGTGGTGCCCCCTCGGTTATCACTTGGTTTACAACCATAGTAAATTATAAAACTGATTATAGACAAACATAGAATATCTATCATAGAAATCATTATATCATAAAGCTGATTGTAGACATATAATTGACATATCTATCATAGACCCTATAACTAGTGGAGTTATAAATCAACTTAGCGATTCATCTCCCGCACCAGTCCTCCATTCCCTGCAGGTATGCCGCGATATTCTCCTGCGTCGCGAAAGATGATCTTGGCGGAAATTCCATGTCTTCGTGGCTCGTGGCGGCAACAAAATACCGCTGATCCACCAACGAAATACGGATGTAACCAACGAAGAATTGAATTTGTAATTGCATTTGGTTACATCACTAACATTGGGATCTGGTTGGTGGTTGAGCCATCCCTCTGAAAAATATTAAAGTCAGTTGGGATGATTATTCCCAATATATAGAAAAATATAAAATGTTCCAAACCACCAACCAGATTTGGTTACATCACTATGGGATATACCTCTTTGGGACATTTTCCTGAAATCTTGGGATATTCCTTTCTAACAATGACGGGGTTTGGACATCCAGTGGCCTTCCATGTTGGGACCAGTTCGCGAACTTCTTGGAGTTGCTTCGGAGCACGGAAAGAGATGATCTTACCTATTCCGTGCCCAATCAAAGAAGGATATTTTTGTTTTTCCACTGACATTGGTTTTATATGGTTTTATAGCTTTTGGATGCTTCTGGAGAAAAGTAATTTGCCACTATTCTGCCAGGATTTGGCTTTTCAGCTTTTCTATCCGATTTCTTCTTAAACAGCAATCAACCCAAACTTTCCTGCACCTACAGGATGGTTCTTGGTAAAAACCACTACTGGTTGGTGGTTTCAACCACTCTGAAAAATATCAATCAGATTGGATCATCATCCCAACTATTGGGAAAAACATGTTCCAAACCACCAACCAGACTATTTTTCATGGTGAAAAGTGTCAACCAAACCCTCCTTTTCGTCGCCAACGTTGTCCTTTGCACGTGATGGGCTAAAAAAATGGTCCAGCCTTGCGGCGTTCGGTGATGGGTATCCCATCATCATGGGATTATATAATCATAGTGGTTATAATACCAATAATAGTGGTTATATATGGTTAACAAAAATGATGGGATTATATATATATATATAGATAGAACATATCTGGTTGGTGGTATAATGCCATATACCTAGCCACCCCTCTGAAAAATATGACGAATCGTCAGTTGGGATGATTAATTACTCCCAATATATATGGATAAATAAAATTCATGTTCCAAACCACCAACCAGTGATGATTAACCATTATTAACCATCATTAACCACTATTATTGGTATATAATCCCACTATAAAGACGATTATCCCATTATAATCCCATATAATACCCATATATTAACAATCACCTTAACAACCTAATACAATCAGCATCAGGGGCAGCCCTGTATTTTCAAGACCCTTGGATTTCGCAATCGACTCCCAACAGGGCGGAACATTCCCAGCCAATCACATGGGATCGGTTCAGTGAGATATTTAACCCATATTCCCAGATGCTTGTACAGTAATTTACCATCATTTACCTACAAAACTGAGTGATTTTTGGGGTAAATGTTGTTTTAAATATTTTTAAATATTGGATACATGGAGCATCTGGGATTATATCCGGAGGATTCCCATGAAGCAGCTCGTGTCTGGGTCTCTACCCCAAGTTTTCATGGTGAAATCGCAACACTTTGTGTTGCGATCTCACCCCGTATTAGTTTACTGGCTATATCACCAATTGTATTAATATGGGATTTTTTGTTATGGGACAATCATCTTTATAATGGGCTTGTACAATAGTGGTTATAATGCCAATAATAGTGGCTATATCACCAATTGTATATATGGCACCATGGATTCTACACGCAAAATTACTACATGCCCAACACCATCTACGTCTATCCCCGATATTTCTTGGCGAAATCCCCATGCGGGTCTGAAACTTGGGTACACGCACATATATGCGTTATTTAATGGGGAAAATGATGATAGAAGCCCCATATTATTATTGATATGGAAGATCAAGGATGATCATTTTCCCAATTTATCAATCTTAATTTCATACTTAATGGGACAACTGATAATTTAATATAATTCAGCATTTGTTTAGTAAATTTTGGGGCACCATATTTCCAGACAAAGCCATGGTTTCTCCACACTTTCCATACAAACCCATGGATCTATATTTTTTTCATATCCAGTAATTGGTTTATATCTCATATTATCTCATGATTCATATCCCCATTAAGAGACCGGCCCGGCGAAAAAAAATCATGGCTTAAAAAATCTCATGAAATATCAGTGAAAAAATCATGGCTTTACCCCTCACCTATGATCCATGGTGCTGGTATATTAATGCTAACATGGCTGGGGTTTTTGTTGATGGGATCCATGGCACACCATATATAGCAGCACCATAGATCCTATGGGTATGTTAATCTACCCTCTGGTAAATTAACATAACTATGGAAAATCACCATTTTTAATGGGAAAACTCACTATTTCAATGGCCATTTTCAATAGCTATGTTAAAAAGGATCCCATCAATAGGTCAATTTGACGGCGACGAGGCACTCCGAATTCACCAGCCAGTCCTCGGATTTCAAGGGATGGGAGTGGGATTCAATGGGATAAATGTTGGCGTTAATGTTTGTTCGTGTCTTGTTAACATGTGACTAATGGTAACTAGTTAACATATTTGTTAGTTGTTCTAAATATGACATGGTAGAAATAACATGGCGTTTTGTGGAATAATATAACTATGTCAATAATGGTGTTTTCTTAACCCATCTAAATAGTGGGATTCAATGCTAAGTTAGTGTTTTGTTAAACCACCCAAAAAAATATGACATGTTGGTTAAAATTAACTGTTTTTTTGTGCGAACTCTTGGGCAAAACATAATAATATAAGATATAATGACATACTTAGAATGAGATGGGACAACATGTTTAAAACGGAAAAAAAAACTTTCAAACTGCATGAACTGGGGTTTGGTAAATGTTCTATGTTCATCTATTTTCTTCACATCAGCCCAATTAAAAGAGGGACATACAATCTCCAACAAATACAACCTCTTTTAGCAGAAATCCGTAAACCTATAAATCATTATAAATCTCGAACATCTCCAAAAGAGGGATATACAACCTATAAAAGTGATGTTCAAAATCCCTCAAACCTGACATTTGCCAACCATCACAACAGGTGGCCTGGGCAGACAGCCGCTCGGCAGCCGAGAGCCCCACCAGTGCCACATCATCTATTATAGACAAGTGAATCCTTATTGAAATAGTCTACTATATTCTATTAAGGATATCATTCATCTTCCTTTCATTTTTTTAAGGATCACTAATTATTCTACTGTTGATATCTGCATTTTGGTCCATGTTTCAATTGGTTTTCACTTGGCCAACAAAGCTCAGTGAAGTTTACCGGATTCCCACGATGTTTTGCATCTTGGTACGACCCGGGAAGGGGATGGTCTACTTCTGATCCCAAAAATTAGCTTCACAGGGCCTCTAGTCTTTACCCGCACCCATGCATTTTCATATGTTTTAAAATCAACTCTAATATTATTGTTTGCTTGAAACATCTTGAAACAACATATGCTGGGCTAAAAACTAAAATTCACAGGTTGATCACAACATTTCAGTGGTTAGACTAAGGGCTTACCTAGTGACTACTGTTGCTTGACTTAAGAGTAGGATGAGCTTTTTTAACGCACCCGGAGTTTTCCTCAAAAGATTGGTGATTGGTGTTTTAGTTTATTGACTATTGAAGTTCCTAGCTCCTGGCAAAATCATCAAATGCTCCTGGTTAAACCAGTTCAAGTAGCTTCCACCTTCGGCCTCCATGGATGGAAGCGACGGCACAACATGCTCCTGTCCAATCGTTGTGAAACGCTTCATGTTTTGCCTGAATCCCTTTGGCAACTGAGATACCAAGCCATAAATTGAAGTAACTCACCATGTAAAAAACATATTCTGATGGATTATATTCATCTCATTCTTCAGGGTTGCTAGCAACACCCCACATACTACAGGAACAAAATTAGCATACCCTCTGGTAAACTAACATAGCTAATTATTGAAAATGGTCATTTATAGTTGATATTCCCATCAAAAATGGTGATTTTCCATAGTTATGTTAGTTTACCAGAGGGTATTTGTGCATATTTTAAAGAAGAAAAGAAACACACACCCTTTTCCCCCGAGCGACTCTGATGTTTGTTGCTTAAATCAGCAATTCACCGCACCAGGACACCAGGACACCAGGAAAACACTCTGAAATCACGATGATTTTCTGTTGACCCACGAAGATTTCGAACCAGGCGTCGTATCTGTCAGCAATTTTGGACTTCAGCAGGTAATCCCAGGCGGGCATCAGGCCCACCATGTTGCGATGGTAGAGCCTCACCACGGCGAGAGGCTCCCAGGTCGGATGTTTTTCGATTTTTAGGGTGATGTTCATGTGGATTTTACATTTTTTTAATGGGGATTTATATATATAACCATATTTAGCCAACCAAAGTTGGGATTGGTGACGTTCATTGATGCTAAATTGGTGGAACAAACAGTACAGAATCTGTCAGTGAACCAAGAGGATTCAACGCTCAGAGTGAGGAATGAACTATGATAAGACACAGAATAAACAATTGATATTCCCATGGATACAATGGGATATGATATTGTATGATATTTTACTAGGATAATATATTTATAAATATATTGATATGATTAGTGTAAACATGGATATTCATGGGGATATTTCATGGGATATAGCATAAATATCAGGAAAACTTATGCTTACGGTTTTGCCAGCTTTTATGGGAACATAACCCAGGTAAAGCAAGCAAAATGAAGTTAGGACATGGTTAGAATATGTGAACATATAATGTTTGCGACTTGATAATATACAATACTTGTAACTGGAGGAGAAAGCAACAGCTGCAAAGAAAGCAGAAGATGTCCTGTGTTTGCAATATCAAACAATCAATAAAAGAATTTGTTCAAGCAACTAAGTAGTTGTTTTACCAACAGCTCGAAGGAGAGCAATCATTGCATATGGGGGTAGATGGGGTTTCACCCTTCAAACTAAGGTGAGTAAAAAAACGACAAATTGCAGCATTGGCCTTAAAAAAACATACGCAATGCTGCAAACAACAAGTTGGTCATGCATCTTCAGACTGACACTTCAGATTGACACATGGTCAGAAGCAATGAAGAACTTCTAATCCACTAGACTAGACAGGTAAAGAATCAACAAGATGGCAACTTCATGCATCAATCGAACACCAAGACTGCTACAAATATCCGCAGCTCCGCTGTTTTCCAAGGGCCCCACCATTGTCCGTGCGTCCGTGCCCTTGGTGCAAACATGAGCCACCAGTGTGATACCAAAATACTAAAGGTTTCGGGTACGGAGATATCGCCACCTTCTATCTTATTGGGTTTGCCATACATCGATGGTGTTGTGTTTGGGGGTACGTATAAGCTTGCTTATAGCATCTTGTAACCCATCTGACTATAGTTACAACCACCATAATCATCATAATTCCTAGTCAAGCTATAGTCTAGTGAAATAAACAAACTAGACCCAAACTAGACCAAAACTAGACCCCCTATTCATTAAATAGTATTAAATTCCACTAACTTCCATTAAATCATTGATTAATATACTTAAGTTTTCATCGTTAACGCCTCGTTTCAACCGCGCGGCAGTCTCTGTTGTGGCAGGGTCAGCCGCACGAAGTCCTCCTCGTCCGTCTTGTTTGGACTCCCGGTGTCTGTGAAGAACAAATGTCCTGCGGTTGCTCCCAGGTCAGACATAGGTTTTATATATATATGTGATTTTATGTAATGATGTTATATCCCAAATGCTCCATGGTGCTGGAATATTTACCAACATTTACCCGAACAAAATCACCCAGTTTTGTAGGTAAATATACCAGCACCATGGTTCGCATATGGGGCACCAATCAACCAAAAACTGGATTGATGGTTGGTTTATGCAACTCTGGCATGACAACTGCGGATTCAACCTAACAATTTGACAATGTAGATACAAGGTTTATGGGGAACATAACATGATATAACATGGTTTCCTATGGTTTCTGGGAGATGTTTGACGTTTTTCCAGTTGGGTCTACAAGCCAACTTACAACTGGAGGGCATCACCTTCATCACCTTGGCTCTGGTACCATTCACCCCAAAACAGCCGGGAAATTGGAATATTTGGAGTTCATCCAGCAAACATCCCCTGTTTAATGTTGTTTACTAGCTATGGATCCATGATATGCATGATATGATCCGTGGCCATTTCTCAATTATATAATATATATATATATATTATCCCATATCTCCATGATATCCCCATGATATCGACCATTTTATGAAGTTACTGTAGGCTTGACATTCGCCACCCATGGGGCATCCAGCATCCAACTGAGCCAACTGACCGTCGCACTTGTTGTACTGCCTTCGGACCTAGCGATTTTGGCCATCGACTAGACTAGACACAATCCGGGGATAACGAGGGTAAAAAATATATTGTGTCATTGGGAGCTTATTTTTTTAATACTCCTTTCCTAGGAAATTGTTTAGTAAATCGATAGATAAGGCTGTTTTATTAAACCATATAGGCCATCTTTATCGAGTTTGTTTCGGGAAGATAGGCTAGTTTCTAGTTACAACGAAATCATAATTCCCACATCATTAGAAGATAAATTAGTATATATATAAATTATATAAATGTAAAGCATAATACATAATTTGTCAATGAGAATCAATCACAGATCATTTTTCTGGTTGGTGGTTGAGCCACACCTTTGAACAATATTAAGTTGGGCTTACTATTCCCAATATATGGATCGAAAGATAAAATTCATGTTCCAAACCACCAATCAGTTTTTGGATGGTTCATTTCTGGTTCATTTACAACCACCACAACTGCGTTGTTTCACCAAAAAAGCGGACGATCGGATCACTCGTTTTTTTGGGCGGCCTCATTGAGGACCCCTTCGTCATTCTTGCGCCGTGGGGACCAAGCGAAGCAGAACAAGGTCCTGAGACATGGGGACTCGGAGTCAAGTTACCGTGGCTATCCGTGAACATCAAAATGTTGGTGGTTGGTGGTTGAGCTACCATTGGTTGGTAATATACTGTTAATATATGGTTATTATATGATATTATATGGTTAATGATGGTTAATAATAACCTGGTGGGTGGTTTTTAGCCCTACCCCTCTAAAAGATCATGGAGTTCGTCAGTTGGGAGGATGAAATTCCCATATGGAAAGTCATAAAATTCCATGGTTCCAAACCACCAACCAGTCAAAATAGGTGGTAAATGGATGTTCATCCCTGTCAAAATGGTATTTATAGGTATTGATCCATGGCCAAATTGTGAAAAAGCTGGAATAACTGGCTTTTTTCGATGTGCAGAATGGACTATAAGATGGTCCTGCAATTTTTATGTTTTTTTTTTGCCCGCTTTTTTTTCTGGATTCACATGATGGATTATAATAAATCCCCTATATATTTTGGTTTGTATAATACCCAATCATCAACCGACAGGGATATTGAAAACTCCTCTCGTATTATTAAGCACTTCATACGAGTGGGATGCATATTTTGCGATATAGCAAAAGGACCAACAGTTTCTTGTTTATGAATTTGAACAATTGCGATCACGGTCGTATCGATTTGTCATGTGTTCATGTTTTTTCCACAATGACTATCCTACTTGGTGGCGAACTACCCACGGCTCGTAAGTGGTTTATAACCCCAGTGATTTACATGGGATAAGGAGCGGGTCAATCCACTTATAATTGGGGTGAACTAACTCCAATAACTTTGGTTTATGGTATTTATATGTATTTATACCTATAGTTACTGGGGCGAATCTAAACCAACAAACATATCTAACGGGGGCCTCACATTGTATAGTCCCCCCAATCTGATGAAATCGTATGCAACTCCCTTGCGATTGGATGAACATTCCATTTGTGGCTCAAAATGATCCCACACGATTACGTGCCCAGCGTCATGTTCGCTCCGTTGGTCGCCCTCGCATCAACCCGCACTGCCGGCACCGCCGCCGGCATCGGCACCGCAGTTGTTGTGGTCGCGGCAGTTGTGAACACAGCTGCAGCTGTTGTCGCGGCAGCTGTAGCAGCCGCAACGCTTGATGCAGTGGTGGATGTTGTGGTGGTAGTCAACCTGGGGGGGGTCATAGATGGAGAATCCCAGAAAAATTAGGATGGTTTTTGTTGTGGAACATACCAAAAAAATTAGGATAGGGCTATCCCCATGGATTGGAAACCTCCATATCCTTCATGGTTGCCACTTGGGCTCCATGGATGATAGGAATGTGTCGGTGAGGGAGCACTCCCCAGTCTTCACTGCAACAAGTACACCGCGGTCTCTCAATGTCAATCATAATTTATAAATATTTATAAATCATCATTGTTTTGCGGATTAAACAACCACCATTGATTAAAAAAAATACACATGTTATTTGCAGTATACCGACCAGGTTTCACAAATCTCATCAAGAATATTGACAATAAACACTGATGAACAAAAATCAAACTTCACCTGATGAACAAAAATCAAACTTCACCACAATATAGAGGTTTCCAATCCATGGGGGTAGCCCTAGTTCTCATCCATCTATAGATTGCATTTTCCATTTTCCAAAAACCATCCAGCTATTGGATCCCCCATGACTATGGAAATCCCCATATGGCTATGAATCAATACCTATTAATACCATTTTTAGAGGGATGAACATCCATTTACCAGCTATTTTAATGTTCACCAGGGGTACAAGGTTTTGACACATACCCATATGTGTTTTTCCCATCCCTGGTTTTCTTCCAAGTCACGCCGTTGTGGCCACCGTGGCCACGGCCTCCTTCGCCCCCGTCACCGCTGTGGCCGTCACCGCGGCGGTCGTGGCATTGGAAGACGAGTCCAGCAACTGCCGAGCCAAAGCGTGGATGGCCAGGTTGTTCACGTGGTGAATGATGGGCACATGGCCTAGTTGCGACAAGCCACGACCTCTGGTCATATCTGAAAGATATGGAAAGATGGTGATTTGAAATGACCAAATGCCACTGGTGATTGATGTTGCTGGAAAATGAAAATGTGTTTTTTTTAGACTTTGGGGAACAACTTGGGATTTTGTATTGATGTTTGTATATGTAATGCTGCATTATTCTGAACATATTTTTTAAAGAAATCAAGATGGATGCGTTCGGCACACCGCCGACTACGAACTGCTGTGCAGAAAACGATCGTTCGGCCTCCATCGGCACCGGTTTTAAGTCTTTCCCCATGTTTTTTTCGATGTTGACCGTGTCGGGACTCAATGGTATGGGATTTAAACAGAAACATAGGATTTATAGGGATATATCGGGAACAGAATAGGAATAGAATGGGATTCCTAAAAGGATAGTATACATTAATGTTCAAATAATATACCATTAATAATGGGTTATTTAAATAAATGAACCCTCTGGTTATACCTGTACAATAAAACATCGTGAATGTTCCCTCAGTGCACAGGATGATAAGACTCAGAAAAAAAATAAGCGTGGAAAGGAAAGCCAAAGCCGCGGCTCAGCCCTTGGCCGTTTGCAGATCATTGTGCAATAGATTCAATAGATGCAATTTTAAGGGTTGAACTGAACTAATGGAAGCAACAACCAAAACAACTAACAAGAAACTAACAAGAATCAGTACTGTGCATGTCCTGCAAAATGCCGGATCGACTGACATGAGGGATGAACAAGAAACCTGTAGTGGAGCTGAAAAATTGGCGCCGGGTAATCTTGAGATACCTTTAGGCCAGCGCACATGTAGAACTTGAATCGCAGCTGACAGTGTATAATTATCCTCAAGTAGATTCAGAATATGGAACCATTTAGTGAGGATGTTTATCCACAATATCTTTATGGTCTCCAATCAACCATGGCTAGGTCAAATTTGAGACCCAGCGCGCAGATCTTGAGGTCCATGATCAACATCAACCACCGTTTCTCTTGATGAAATCGACCTCCCATCAACCGCCAACCAATTTTGAAAAAGATTTTGAAAAAGATTTTGCAAGTGCTCAGAGCCGCGTAACGCTATGCCGCTATTCTTTCCCTTGGTCTTGTGCTCAAGAGCCCTTTCCAGTTGGGTCTTAGCCACTAAGAATCTACTAACAAATATGATGTTTTGATGAACTGGAACTCCTCCAATAACTTTGATTATGTATAACCACTGTTATTAGTCATCCAGAGCAAACGGTATAGAATACCTCCATTACCCAATACCCCATACTGTTTGTTATTAGTCTCCAATAACTTGGGAATGTTATGACCAATAGTCCCAAGTCCCTTCATTCGAGCGGCGTCCATCATAGAATTTCTTACCTGGGATCGGTTGCTGTGCAGCAAGTGCCGGCTGAAATCGGCTTAACCAATTTGAAAACAGGAACTCCCGGCCATCCGTGAAAATGATTGTCCCATCCGTGAAAATGCAATATATCTGAGGTCAATCTGTTTGGAAGATCATGTTCCAATCAAAAATGGTCATTGCTGGTTGGTGGTTTCAACCCCTCTGAAAAATATGAGTTCGTCAATGGGAAGGATTATCCCATATATGAAATGGAAAATGACATGTTCCAAACCAGACTGATTATTAACAATTATTAACAATTATTAACCATCATTAACCATCATTAACCATCATTAAACATCATTAAACATCATTAACCATCATTAACCATCATTAACCATCATTAACCATCATTAACCATCATTACCCCATACAAAACCAATGTTTGAAACCAGCAATCCAAAATGGTCATTGTGATCATTCTGACATTGTTGAAATCAAGCCTTCGGGAGGCCGGGTCTTTTTCGCAGCCAACATGAGATTTTCCTGGCCCCAGCAAGGCTCACTTGCAATGCGATTGGTAAATAAAAAAGGAACTGATCTTCAAATTCCCATTGCTTGAGGGAAGCTGGATGGTAAATACATGTTTTCTAGCTATATATATATATACTGGTTGGTGGTTTCAACCCCTCTGAAAAATATTAGTCAATTGAGATCATTGTTCCCAACAGCCCAGCATATGGAAAGTCATAAAATTCATGTTCCAAAGCACCGACCAGAATATATTAGTCACAAATATATATATATATATATTTCTAGATCTTTGTCCCTTTGGAGAAAACCGATCGGTGTCACTTTCTAATGTGGGGTCTTCGGTTACGATAGGTAACTTAAGGTTAACACAACTACAGCAACTGTTGGGTTGATTTTTGGGGATATTGTTAGATGAAGTTATAAAACAAGTTATAACTACAAAGTGGGACCCCTGAGATAGCTAAGTTGGTTTATAATTCCAAAAACTATTGTTCGGGATACTTATAAAGATAGTTCATGGGGTGTGTAAGCCAACAAAAACAAGGTTCCAGGATCCAATTTTGTTTAGTGAAAAATGGTTTATGGCATTGTTTTACCAACATTAGTTAAAATATCAAATAATAATAAGTTATTGATTAATGTCCATAAGTTCTTGAACCAATAATTACTGCCAATTTTACCAACATTAGTTCACTTTCCATAAATGGGGGTACCCCTAGTTATCATCCATGTTCATCCATTTATAGATTTATTTTTGCTCATAAACCATCCAGCTATTGGGGTACCCGCAAATATACAATGTGAGGCCCCCCAGTTATAAGTTGGTTTACAAGCCCCAGTAACTATAGTTATAAATACCATACACCATAGTTATTGGAGTTATAAACCAACTTATCTTGGGGGCCTCACATTGTAGGAAACCCTGAAATTCTCACACGTTCATTCGGCCCAATCCATGCATCCCAGTTGCAATTCTTCACCACCGCATCATTGGAATGCGCTGCACAGTACGCCTCTCCTGCCGCCTGTCGGAAGGGAATTTGTTGACCTCAAAAAGAGGAAGACCACAGTAGATCCACAATTAAATATCCCATGAATTAATATTGATATGGGGATGGGTCAAAACCTTGTACCCCTTTGTTCACATCAAAATAGCTGGTAAATGGATGTTCATCCCCCTAAAAATATGGTATTAACAGGTATTGACCCATACCCATATCTGAAAACTCTTGGGCATTTGAATTTCACAATGAAATTTACAACGACACTTTCACCAAAACTCGGAAGAAACCAAACATCTGAACAAAATTTGGGAAGTTCAGCGGTGGAATTTCTCCAACATCTACTACACGGGGATGAAAGAAACAAAAACCACATGGAAATTCGCAGCAGATGGGCTGAGAATATCTGATAACCACAATTTGGTTTTCCATGACAAACTTAGAAACTGAAGCCAAAGAAGTCTTGATGTCTCTTGGAACGGTGCTCCAAGTGTCCACCCAGCGTGGGGCTTGGTGGTATCATCATCGTGGAGAATGAAAATGCATCACCATTCATGCATGGGACAACAACCCTGGCACAGTGAACATCAAAGGAGAAAAATTCTGTGATCTGGGTATATGTCTGCCGACCCGACTGCGGGGGAATTACTTCATCTTCAAATTTTCAGCCCGACCATAAGGTGACTTGAAAGAATCCCCGTCCCGATGGGCATATGACTCTTTGGCATCTACTTCAGGAGATGTTAAAACAAGAAACAAGGGCATACCTTCCGGAAACGACCATTTAGAGATGATCTTATCATTTATGTACACATGTATATATATATATATATACAATATATATATATATATAAAGATATACAAGATGTCTTCCAGACATGCAAAGCAATACCCTCTTCCCATTTGATATATATATATATATATATACAATGTGAGGCCCCCAAGATATAAGTTGGTTTATAAGCCCCAGTAACTATAGTTATAAATACCATAAACCATAGTTATTGGAGTGATAAACCAAGTTAGCTATCTTGGGGGCCTCACATTGTATATTATATATATGTCAATATATGTCCATTTACTTCGGAACATTTCCCAGGAATATGAACGACAACTGAGGCCCACTGTCATGCCACACAAAGTGGTACCCCGAGTCCTTAGCTATAGGTAAATCATTGGCCATTTATCCGCCAACTGTCAACTCACCAAAATCTATAGCCAAGTATAGTTTATAAATTATAAAGCCATCACTAGTATAATATAGTTATATGTATCTACTGTATCTAAGCTCTATAAACACCAACTATAGCTTTATCTATGTATATATGTTGTTCACCAGCATAGTTATATTAATTGATGGCTTTGTACACTGCTTGCATCAATTATACTGTGTCCCATGGCCTTGCAGTATGAAAACTGGTTGAAATTGATATAAGTTGAACTACAAGCAATACGGATTATAGATATTGATATAATGTAATTGTAGATAATTGATATCTAACTATCTCAACAATAAAATGGGGACCCGTTTCTTGTTATAAAACGTTGTTGATATAAGACATTATTGATTTTAAAATTTATAGCAATAATATGAGATAATTGAACATAAATAAATTGATCTTAAATTTATATTCATAATTTAATGATATAGCTTGCATGAGATAATATTCATCAACATCAATATCTTTATCTAGTTTAATTTAAATATTCTAATTGATGGCTTTTGACAATATTTTATATCATCGCATGTATGGCTATGAATATATTCAAATATATTAAATATGGCTATGAATATATCAAATGTCATCAAACTGATGGCTTTATAAACTGCTTGTTGGATCCCCAGTGGGCCGCCTTGTCCAAGTGTTCCATGTCCGCCAGGACGCGAATGGCACTGAGTTCGCCTGATCTGACCAGGGCGTTATTTTAACATACGGGGATGTGAACATGATATGTTCAGTATATTCATCACGGGATTATATAATGGGATAATCATTAATAATGGTTAATATATGGTCATTATTCATGGTTATTATATGTTTTTTTTTTTGATGGGACAATCATCTAAAAATGATGGGATTATATACAGTAATAATAGTGGTTAAAATAGTGGATATACATCTGATATATGGTTAATAATGGGATTTTGTTATGGGATAATCATCAACAATGGGGTTATATAATAATAGGTTTTTTCAATAGGATGTGAATGTGAAAATGGTGTGTGTTTTGATTGCAGCGTTCAAAATCCCTCGTTTTTATTCCATTATTGGATCATTGTAATGGTTGGTTTATAGTGGTTTGTAGTGATTTATAGCTGGTTGGTGGTGAAGCCACCCCTCTGAAAAATATGAAATATGAACGTCAGTTCGGATTATGCAATTCTCAATATAAGGGAAAAAAAACATGTTCCAAACCACCAACCAGGTTTAGTATATCATATATATATATAGGATCATGTAGATATAGGTGTGTATATAAATATACATACAGGTATATAAAGAATTCAAAGAATATAAGATCAAATGCATGTTTAATATGCTGTAGGTATTTGTTGATATAGGATATAAATACATAAAGTAATTATATATTATATTATTATCCATATAGGATCATATCAGGTTTATATCCATAGGTACCTATAGAACCATTGGTACGTAATTCAACAAAAATGATACTTATATAATCCATTAATCCATAGCAGGTGATATCCATTCTTGAACATGTACCAATCCAGAGGTACCATAAATCTCAGGTACTATAGGTATTAGGTACTTGTTTGGGGGAGAGTTAATGTCGGAAAACATAGGAACATAATATGTTCATGTAGTTTTCCATTGAATGTCAGCAAGGTAATCTGTGTTAAAGGGACACCGTCTTGGTCCCGTGTCCGGCCCATGGAGCAGCTTGAAATCATTGAAATCTCAGGAGTTTGAAGACAGTTGCGGCCCTTAATAGGCAAGAAACCTGTTATAACTGTTGAGGGATTTAACTGTAGCTCACATAATGTAACGAAGAAAAATGTGGTGTTTTCCCTCCAATAAAGTTTAAGGGTGATATATACTGCAGTTTGTGTATATATATATAATTATATATATATACATAATCACATATATAATTATAAATAATATACTTATATTATGGGAGGATTTAACATTGAATGATGTAACCAACAAATCTGATTTGTTGATTGTCTAAAACTGATATGAACATGATGATGGGAGAAACCTAGGAACCAACCACAATGATGTGACTTCATTTTGACCGGAAACCAGTATTTCATGTCATATATCAAGGTCATAATGGTCAGAAATGCTGGTGTTACCAAGAACAAATAAGGATTTGATATAGCTACGACAACAGATGAACGTGAATAAACACAGCGATCGTTTCCAGATGTCATGGGAATTCAAACCAAGCCCCCTTGCAATAAACGTCACCCCCTCAATAATGTGTTGGTGTGGCTTGATCTATATAGCCTTGAGTAAGGTTCACTCGCTTACAGAGTTCCGCGCATGCAAGTCATGCAAGCACTAGGTAGATTCCGTATTTCTCCCATGTCTATCTCCAGCGTATCCCTCCTTTATATTCTTTTATCCTACATCTATGATTGAACACATCACCATTTAGATTTGGACTGTGTAAGTGCTTTGAATTTTCAATTTGGAGTACGAAAAATGAATCCACATCCAGCTGTCGCGCTCCGAAAAAAAACAATCCCGTCCCCCTACACAAAAACAACACGCTCCCGTCTCGACCTCCAAGATGAATAGTCTCAGGAATAAACCAATGGCTTTGGCGGAAAAAACAAATCCCCCAAGAAATGAACATTATGTAAAATCCGATTCTGACTCAATGTGCCGCCTCAGAAATTCTGTTCTATTCTGTTTTGGGTACAGTACTATATTTCATACTAGGGGAATGGGACCAGATTCTTCTTCAAAGCAACATTTAGGGACGCATGGGAACCCCCCTCCGCTCCACTTGTGCCTTGCAGAGACTCCCCGCCCCAGGGATTTTGCTGCATCTCCCAACAACCCAACGGCAGTTCCTGGCGTTGACGTTGCCATCGTGGCGTTGCCATGTGGTCTCCGATGGTGATTTGGCTGACTGGACAATGCTGACTTTACCCGGCCTGGCAATTTGTAATATAACAAACTGGAAAATCACCATAGAAATAGTTGATTTACCGGATTTACCTATTGAAAAATCGTGATTTTCCATAGCTATGTAAACGTTTACCAGAGAAAACCAGGAAAAATGTTGGAAATGGATTTGGATTCCAAAGTTGTTTCGTGTCGTCTTATCATTTCGAATCTGGAATCTGGTACTTGATTCTTTCGATTCTTTTTTTTTTTGAGTCTGGTTGGATTGGGCAGGGAAAGGTACCCAATCTTGGTCCGTGTCCTGTCGATGGAGCAGCTTGAAATCGATTAAATCTCAGGAGTTCCACGAAATCAGGGCACGTTTGAAGACAGTTATGGCCCTTAGCAGATACCCATAGGATCCATGGTGCTGGTATATATGCGAACATTTGGGGTATATTGATGGGATCCATGTTACCATATATAGCATACATGGATCCTATTGGATGTAAATGAGGTGAAATAACTCTTCCAACTAAGGCTAAGGTTACATACGGTATAAGCCAGTCAAGGCTATTAAGGTACATGACTGTTCAAAGTGTGTTGCAGCCAAGTTTAGGTGGACACCTGAGTTTGGCCCATCTTCCATAGGGCTTGTGGGATCACCATCAACTCACCATTGAGTCCAGTGAATTTCCACTATACTTCCATACTTCCATTATAGCTCCAAATGAAAATCCCATTAAGTCCCATTCGATTTCCTTAACTCACCATTCACTTACCATTCACTTACCATGGAATCACCACCATTCACCGGAGGGTAGCCACCTGGCAGGTACCACTGGCCACCACTGGCCGCGCCCGCGCCTTGTTGCGGAACTTTGCGGGATGTCCGCAGCCCGGATCTCCCAGCGTCATGACTTTCTTCTTGGCCAGCTTGGGCAACACATCCCAGGCCTGAAGAACCCGTGGAATTTCATGGCACTTTACCATATTTTTTTCACATATATATAGAAAATGGCTAAAACCGGCAAAAAATCGGCGAAATAATGATCATTAATGAAATTATACTTTCCATAAATGATATTTACCATATTATCAATGGTTAAAACCGGATATAAATGAGATATCATGATATTATATTTTCTGGTTGGTGGTTTTTCGCCACCCCTCTGAAAATATGAGTCGGTTGGGATGATGACATTCTCAATACATGGGAACAAAAAAACATGTTCCAAGCCACCAACCAGATATTATCAATGGTTAAAACGGGCTATAAATGAGATTATTCTTTCCATAAATGGGGTTTTAGTTAATACTTATAACTGGTATAACTCGGGCCATAACTGTGGCTTTTTTTTGATGGGGTTTTCGCCAATTTGATGATGGGTTTCACGGTGGGAATCTCGGATCACCTGCCGGATGCGACCCAATGGTGCTGGTTTTTGTTGACCTACAAAACAACGGGTGATTTTGGAAATTCAAAATGTAGGGATTCAGAAATTCCAGCACCATGGTGAGCAAATTTGGGCTATATCCCATTAATATCCCACTCATATCCCATTGAATCACTATAAAACATCATTAAATCATTATAAAAACCATGATATTTCTGGTTCTTCGTGGCCAACAAATTAACCCCTCGACTTACCATTCACCAAAGCGTTTCTCAACGATGGAGGTCTGACGATTGGACTTGTGACGGAACTCGTTGGCTTGTTAGCCCTACAGTTATGGCCCGAGTTAAACCAGCAGTCAGTAAGTCACCCCATTTATGGAGTAGCCACATTTATAACCATTTGTAACCATGTATAACTGGTAAAGGCGGCCTTAACTGTAGTTATTGGAGTCATAAACCAACTTGGCTAACTTGGGGCACCACCAAAAGTGCCATACCGCGGGTAAAAACTGAGGGGGATGTATCTAAAAACGATGACAGTTTTCCGGACGGCCGTGGCAATCTGACGGGTGATCCAAAGAAGTCCCAAAATACCAAGGAACACTTCAAGAGTTTATACTTGAATCGTATTTTTGGGATAATGCAATTCTCATTCAACCACCAGCGAATACCAGCTACTTGGAATACTCCAATAATGCAGGCAGCAAGTCAGTCCAAACCGAGTAATTCCGACCAAGTAGAACCTGAGTTCTGTGGCGCTTGTACTTTGATCATAGTCCTACTGTGAGCTATTCAACGGTCTGTATACAGAATCTTGGAGTAAACAGTGGTCCCCCAGGACTTTAATCTTGATCCATGCATCTGATATGCA